ATATTTTATTTTACGCATTTAAAAGCATTCTAAAAAGGGGTCCACACAGGCTTCACTAGACTATCAAAGGGGTCTATGACACAAAAAAGATTAAAAACCTCTTTTCTAGGGATACTGCAGGTACCACCTCCCAAGACCTTTGGACTTTTCAAAAACTGTAAGATTATTATCAATCAAGGACACATCTAACATGGGATACTTGTGCACCTAAGATCAAAGGAAAAAACACACACAAAAGAGGCAGCCAGCCTTGTGTTCAGGGCCACATGAAGTCTGGGTGAAGAGCATCTACTCTGTTCCCCACCTGACTTTTTGGACCAGCATGAAATAGAAAATAATGCTTAACAGCCAGAAAGAAAGAGAATCTCCCAAATCCAGCAACTTGCTTTTGTATAAGCCCTGAGCTCTTCCTGCTCAATAGCCAATTAGATTAAGGGTACTCTTAATCACTGCATAATGCAAACCAGTACTCCTTACCAGGAAATAGGCTACCCCAAGCCTCTACGCAGTCAACTAGAACTATGTAACGAACATGCTAACAAAGAATGGTCCCAGCAAGCCAGTTTACCCACATTACGTAAGTATAATACAAAGAAAACTGAACATGGAGAGAATACTAATACCTATTGCAATCAGGGAATGCTTCACCAAGGAAGTAATACCTGATTTGAGCCTTGTAGGAAAGATAAAGATTCTGTGAGGTGAAAATGAGAAGAAGTACTTTCCAGACTTGAAAGATGACTTGTATAGTGGATTCATGGAGTCCGGAGAAAGAATTTTGAGTTCAGGTACTCTCATTTGGCTAGAACATAGTTCAGAGGGAAGCAGTAAATAAGGCTGGTAAAGTAAATGGAAGTCAGACTGTGGAGGGATTTAAAGGCAAGGGTAAGTAGTCTTCATTTTATCACAGAGACATTGGAGAGCCACTAAGGTTTTTGTTTTGTCTTTTTTCCTAAGCTCCAGATCTACAGGAATATGACTTTGGCAGCTCTGAGCTGGATGGATTGGATAGGGAAAGAAACTGAAAGCAGCAGTCCACAGAAGAGGTGCTGAAGACCTGAACTAGAGCAGTTGTCTAGGTGGAGCGATAAGGGGTCAGATACCAAGAGATGCTGTAGCTGAACAATCACAAAATTTAACAGCTGATTGGATTATATATGACAGAAACTAATGCCCTCAACAGAAATAAGGAAGTTGATAATTTTTTTCTTAAATATGCATTTAATTGGAAATACTGCAAAAGTTTTGCTCCTTATTAAAAAGGGAGGAAGGGTTTTAACTCACTTCTGGATTCCCTGTTAACAATCTTAACTGAGAACTTAAGTGAAAATAAATTCTGTCTTTATTCTAAATCAGTTGAAAACTCTAGAATGGTTAGTAAAGTCTGCTAAAAAAAATTAAAAATTAAGAATGATTAGGAACAGCAGAAGTGAAATGTAAAGTATTCTAGAAAAGATACAGAACACATTAGTGTTCTATATGTCAACAATGAAAATTCCTATTACTTTGAAAATTACATATAGTATTAAGAAAAAAATCAAGGCTACAGAAATATAAATCTTATCTGTAGTTTTACATGTTTGTTTCATCAAATATTAGTATCTTAAGCTCATTTATAGTAGGAAAAAACAGTAAAGAATTCCCCCAAATTCCCACTTTTCATTTCTAAGTACTGTGTTCACAGATTGATAAGCAATATTGTAAGTCTTTAAAGAAATGAGTTTATAGCATAAAAATTGTTTCTTTTTCTACAACTATAATTACTGTAAATATATTCTTAAGAATTCTGTAGAAACCAAAACTCAGATAAACAAACAAGGCAGCAAGAATCTAACTATATTAAATTTCCTCCCTGAGGTCATCAGCAACACCAGTAATGAATGTTTAAGGGGAAACAACATACAGTATTTGAAATACTCTACTCTTTCCCACAGGCAGTTCTGGTTGCTATAATCAATATACCAACATCACAGTTGTTGTAAAAACAAGACTATAGATATAAATCTGAAAGGTGGTAGACAAGTCATCTAGTTCAATCACTTCATTTTACTGATAATGGAAGAGTTCTAGTGAGGTTAAATAACTTGCCCAAGTTCGGAAAGATCAACAAGCATCAGAGGCAGAATTTGAACCTCAATCCTATGACTCCAAAGCTGGCACTCTTTCCTCTGTGCCACCCAAATAGCACTTGAGAGAGCCAAAGCCAAGATACTGGTCATACTCTTTAAAGGTTCTACTTATTCTCACTCATAATCTAGCTTCCACAATGTTATAATATGTAGTACAGTTATCTGCATAAAAACACAAGATCTATTTGAAGTGAGGCTGTTTCATCATCCCATATAACCAATAATTTTGCATTACATGCTAGATATTTGTACTCTGTGTAGCATACTTTAAAACTACAGGTTTCCTATAGCGCACTTTGAAAATTCTAAAAAAATTAAAGCAAGTAATTAATGAAGAAGGGTATTTTTAAATACTTTACCATCTGTCACTTTAATGTAAGCAAAAATATATAATATTAAATTCTGGACAACTGCCAATTTAGAAAATATTCGGTGCCCCAGCACTTTGCACAATGCCTAGCATGTAGTAACTTAGCTATTACTAGTCATCAAAATCTACACTATTTACAAAATAAATCAACCAACAGATGCATATTATAAAAGAGCAGAAAAGCAGTAATTTCAAAATTCCAAAGTTCTTAAATAACTAAAATACAGTATAGTAATAATGCTGTACTGAGCCTTCTTTCACTTTATCAACCACTGTCTTCTATGAGTAACTCACCTCGACTCCTTTCTATAACTTTGTTAAGTGTACAACAAAAATTCCCCCTTCTTTATATTTAGAAAACACTATTTAGCCCAAAAAAGAAGGTTTAACAAAATAATTTTCCCAAGGATTCTGGTCATCTCTTCCAAAATACAAGAAAGCATACCACAAGAACATAAAGAAAATATCCATTTCTATAATATCAAAGAGACTGGGATTCTTTTTTAAAGGGGGAAAAGTGAGGATCACCACTGAAAATCATTTTATATCGAAAAAAATTATCAACTTTTTGGACATCAGTATTTACTAGAAATATTTTAAATTACATGATTATTTTCTTTTCTCTTAAACATGATTCCATTTTATATACAAATGAAATAAAATCAACTATATTTAATAGAAAATCTATTAAAATTCTTCTAAAATATAAAAGAACAGCATGATCCTAAGTGGTGTGATTTGCCATCATTAATATTCAATTTAAACATTTAAAATAGAATATGAACTTTAATCATTATAAGGCAATAGTTAAGCGACTACTTTTGATTTTTTTAATCACAGTTTTAAAGATGATCTTTGTCATTAATTTTTTTTCAATTTTACAGATGGGAAGAGAGAGATACTGGTATTAAACAACTTGCTCAAGATCACAAGGGAAAGTTAGCATCACTTTGGAAACACCTTAAGAGGCTCAAAGATCACCTTTATAAAAGGACCTTTAGGCCCATAAATGACTTCTCATTCTACAATGATACCTACATATTTTTCACTTCTTTTTCACGTTATTTTCTAATTCAAGCTTCAATCTCTTTTATCAAACTTAAGCAAAATAAAAAAGAAAAATTAGAAATGTTCTAAAAGTTATTCAATTTGTAAAATAACCATTAAACAAAACACCTAAGAAAGTGAATATATAAAAAGTTATCAATTGATGTCAGTCTTGACATGTCAATTAATAAAGAGTCCAGATAACTATATAGAATTAGCTTTCACACATTTCTACATTTAACTTAACCTATTTCATCATATCAAGGTGTTGGCCACTTCCAAACAACTAGAAAAAACATGAAACTTATTAAACGCAAGCATACCTCAATCACTGTTTAACTAGAAAAGTAATAATTACTAAGAACATTTCAAATTAAAAAGAAAGCTATAACATGGCTTATTAGAAATTAAATCTTTATATATGGAAATGTGAATTTTACTAATTCAATAGCAATTACACTATCAGTATTCTAAAAATATGAAAAACGTTTTCAATCCAGTGTTCTTCAGATGCTAAAGTAGCTAAAAAAACTAGATGTTGAATATTTTTCTAATAACAGACCCTTCAAATGTAGTCTGTTACAACTTAAGAACAATTAATTGATCTCATACTACTCATTTTCTAAATGGGAAAAATATTTTTAATGTGGAGACTAAAAAGCACAATTTGATCAAAATGAGGTGGTAAGTTTTATAGCATAAAGGTTACATGAAACACTAGTTCTCATTCTCCATCTAAGTGAATATCTTCTTAGTTACAGCTATATTTAGAAGAATAAAGAAGAATCTAACCAATTCAATCAAGACGATGCTACCAAGCATCCTTTCCCAACTCCAATCACAGAATTCTAAAAATCTGTTGGTATGTCGATCAAAATGAGTTTTAAAAAAAAAATACACACAAATACTTCCCTTTATTCATTTCATGTACTCTATTACACACAGATCAATTTAAAATCCTCTGATAGTCTGTAGGGCAGTGATGACCTGATGTTAAAGCAGTTATTTCAAATCCAATTTTACAATGATTTGAAATATATCAGATATTTAGGATAATTTTTCAACTGCTATCAGTACTTTCAATTTCATATCTACCACGAACTTCACTAAAATATGTACCAAGGGCCTTTGGGACAAGAGTTATTTTTTGCCTTCTGAGAATTCTTCCATCATCTCTTCCTGCTGACCTGGAAATGTAAACTCTACATGGGCTAGGCCTTAAAATTAAGACAATTTAATGGCACTGAATCGCACCTGAAAAACCATTTAGCAAACTAGAAAATTTCCAACCCTAAGAACTAAATTAATCTTTAATCTCTTAATCCAAGCATAAAACATACATATGCCTGCAAATTACAGAGAAGACAACACATTCACAAAAACCCTTTGAAGATATCAGATCATTCTCCCATTAAAAAATGATCAGTTAGTAAAAGAAATCCAAGCGGACTTACCCCACTCCAGGTACTCAACAATATTTTTCTCTCTTCTCAGCGGGGAATTATTACATTCATCATAAAGGCAGATGAGTATATCCAGCAATGTCTCCACACTGAAGCACTGCCCATTGGTCTGAGCTGGCCCATCCAAAATAAACTGCTCCAGCTGCCTCAAACGCACCTCTCCAGACATGGTTGCTTCAATTTTTGTTGGTCGTCCTTTCAATTATTAGTACTATTTTTAATGACTTGAACCTAACTTTTAAACATACGGTGGTTGTTTATTTGGTTTTTGTTTTTTATTTTAAAGAAACCAGTAGTGATTTAAATGACTATCAGTGCAGTCCTGGTGCTGAATTAAAAGCCCAACACGGTGACAACCTCCTTCATACACATTTTTTAATGGGGAAAAGTTGCCCCCCCAAAAATATTATTTATTTACTGCATTTGGGGGAGGGGTATACATATAATTTTATATTTAAATAACAAAATAATAATTATTATAATTCAAAGTAAACAACCAAATAGCCAACACTTTTTTAAAAAAATTCTTCTCCTTCATTCAAAATTCAACTCATGCAACATAATCCTGAAATTAATCCCGTTGCATCATTAAAGAATAAAGCTCGATTTGCATCAGCAATTCACTTCTTGGGGGGTGGACAGAAAAAAGTAGAAAGAAAGCAAAATGTGTAACAAGAGGGAGGGGGAACCCCAAATCCTGCTGTAAATTCCCCCCACCAACACTTGGATAATGCATCAGTGGCCAATTTCTTCGGAGGCGAAGGTGGGGGGCTGGGGTGGAGGTCTCTGGAGCAGTCCCTCCACAGAGCACAGCTAAGTCTTTTTCCTCCCAAAGTCGTCTTTCCGCCCCCCCTAAGGCTTTGCAGTCATTCCTATTTCCGTGAGGTTCCCAATAAAACTCTTCATTTTTCTGCCCCCACTTCTCCTCGGGGGCTGGTGGAGCTGGAGCGAGAGCGAAGAGGGAGCGGGGTGGCGATCGATCCACCCCCGGCTCCCACGGCAGAGGGCTGACTAACCCCACTGACAAACCCCCTCCATGGCTGTCAGTCAGGCCGACTGTCCGCAGGGGCGCCGAGGTCGCGGTCTTGGTTCTCTCTCGGCTCCCCCCCACCCCCGGCACCGCTGGCCGCCGCCTCCTCTTCTTCCTCCTCCTTGTCCCCTCGGGGCCGTTTCCGAGGCTCCCAAGGCCCCCGACTGACGCGCGGACAGACGGAGTGACGGACGGACGGAAGGAAGGAAGGAAGGAAGGAAGGAATGGTGCGAGGAGGGAAGGCTTTTCTGAATTCAGAGGACCGAGGCGGCGGCTGCTGAAGCAGCTTCTCTCCCTTCTTCACGCCCCAGAGTTAAGGGCATCTTTCTCCGGGGGGAAGGGAGGTGGTTCAAGCGGAGAAGGAAAAGGAGGTGGAGGAGGAGGGGTAGAGGTTGGGGCCGGGGCCGCCGCTGCCGCTGCCGCTGCCGCTGCCCCTGCCGCCGCTGCTGGTGTGAGGAGGGGGGCGGGGAGCTGAGGCCGCCGCCGCCGCCGCCGCGCGAGCTCGCTCCCGACCACTCCCTTCCTTTCCCCCTCCTCCCCCGCCCTTTTTCCTTCTCTCGCGCTCGCGCCCCTTCTCCGAGACTCGCTCAACTCGGGCTTCTCCTCCTTCTCCCCCCTCTCCCCCCTCCCAGTCAGCCCCACACACCGGCGGCGGCGGGCGCGGAGGAGTCCGGAGCCAACATGGCGGCAGCCGCCACACAACCCCGCCCCCCACCCTTTCCCCCTCCGCCCCCTCCCTCCCTGCCCGCCTCGAGTGCGTCCGAAGCCCGCGGGCGCGCGGGCGGACGGAGCCTGGGCACGCGCTGCTGCGGGGCGGAGGGCACGGAGAGTGACGGGTGCGCGAGCTGGCGGGGAGGGAGGGGGCTGAGGAGGCAGATTGGGCTGGGGACGGAGGGAGCGGGGGGAAAGGAGGCTTGTTGATGCTGCGGCAGCTAAAGCGCGGAATGCAGGGATACGGGAGGACTCGGTGGGGGGGGCGGCCGCGGAGGAGGTTAGGCGGCGGGAGGATGGGTGAGCCAAGGCCGGCCCCTCCGGCTTGCAGAGGGCTCCCAAGCACTGGCTGTAGAAGTTGCTGCAAGACCTGCGCGCCGCAGTCGGCGCCGGCCGGGCGATCAGAGCCTACGATGGCCGAGATTTTTTTTCAATCGCCTCCTCCCTCGGGAGCACCCAGATTCCCAGCAGCTGCTTTTTTTGGGGGTCATCCAACTGAACACCGTTCTTCTGTGGTGATACCACCTGCGTTGCAGGTTTACAAGGACGGCCGCGGTCGCAGCAGCAGCAGCAGCACCGAGTCCTGACTGCTGTCCTCTCTCTACCCCAGCTGCCAGCACACATACCCCTCAATTCTCCTGCCTCCCGAATAATGATGATTTCTTGAACACTAAATTTCTGTAAAAAGGGGGAAAGTAATATGAATTTATAGCGTGCCTACTATGTGCGAGGCACTGTGCTAAGCGCTTGACAAATATCTGTTGATCCTCACTACCATCCAGGGAGGTAGGTGCCGTTATTAGCCCCATTTTACAGTTGAGGAAACTGAGGCAAGCAAAGACTTGCCCAGGGTTACATGGTTGGTGAATGTCTGAAGCTGGATGCTTCCTGAGTACTCTACTGTGTCGTTTTCAGAGCAAAAAGAGTGATGGAAATATAAGTATAAGCATCAAACTCCTACCAAGTATGAAGAAGATAATTCCCCATTTCTTGATTCCTGAAAGTTTCCATATTTGTACTTGGACAAAAAGATGACAAGCACATTTTATCTATATCTTGTTATCTCTAGCCAGGGTTCTTATCAAATAAAACGAAAAACGTAGGGTTTATTCATCCAGTAAATACTTAGGACTCACTATGAGCAAAGTATTCGATAGAGGACAATCGTTTGAATAAAGCCTTGGGCCAGGGCTGGTCACGGGTATGGCTACTCTCCGAGACGGTTTTTGGGAAAGGCTGAGGATTATAGGTCTGCCCCTTCGCAAAATTTGGATTGGTCCTCCCATTAAAATTTACACACCTCAAGCAGGTTAAGCATTTCTTCTCATTTTCAAAAAGAGATTCCCCTCTAATATCTGATCTCATAACAAACACACCATATTTCTATTATGTACTTATCCTAATTTTTATTATATTGACCTGCAAACAAGCGTTATCTGCTCCTACTAGATTGTAAGATCCTTGAGGACATGAACCTAGTGTTATTTATCTTTTACTTTGTATTCTGCGTTTACCTTCTTGTTCTGAAGTCTCTAACATCTGTTATCTCTCATTCTTGCTGGTCCACCATTTTTCATTGTACATGTCATCTATAATATCTTTTATACCACTTCTCAGGAGAAATTCATCATAATAGGCTGCAGCCTACATATACCTACCATGTATCTTTCTGTTGTCCTGGCTATTTGTTCTAATTCTGCAGATATTGTGGCATTCAGTGATTTAAAGCCACATAACATCACCTGAAAAATATTGGAATTAATTGGGCTTTTGTGGAATTGACAGTTTAGGATTACAAAAAGGGTTATACAAGTTTCCCAAATGAAATCTGATGGAATCTCTTCCTCTTATAGAATGCTGAGGCCCAGTTCATTATCCATGTGCATTTTCTGCCCAAGTCACACATTCTGATAGACCAATACAATACACTGCCCAACCAGGTGCTTGTATAGCTTGGGGCCCTGTGCAATATGCATTTTTCATACTTCATTTTTCAAGTGTGGATGGTTAAACTCATTTTTTATATCTAGCAGCTACTTAATATTCGTTAATAAACTTTTTTTTCAAATAGTAGGTGATCTAATGTTTACTCTTTTATGTACAATTCCTCAGGAGAAGAATACTGTCAAGAAGCAAATGCTGACAAAAGTCATTCAAGCTCCCCTACGTAATTGAATATACATGAAATAATGGAAAGAGCCCTGGAATTAAAGCCAGAGGTCCTGCTTTTGAATCCCAGCTCTGTTACTTCCAGTGTGACCTTGGGCAAGTAATTTTCTCTCCATGCCTGAGTTTCTTCTATAGTAAAATGTATCTTTGATCTTTTTATCTTTCACAAAAAAAAATCCCCTTTTTCTGTATATGGCACCCCTATTCTACTCATACATGTTTACATTCTTGAAGTTATATTTTAATCCTCCTTCCTTCATCCCCCGCATCTAATCAGTTGCCAAGTCCTATCAGTTTTATCTCTAAATATCTTTTGCATCAGCTCATTCCTTTATAATTTCCAGAGCCAACACCCTAGTTTAAGCTCTCATTACCTCTAAACTACACTGTTGCAAAAGCCTTCTAATCAGACACAGTGTATATATACATTTTCTTCCTGCTCTGATTCATCTTTCACACTGAACCCAGATTAATCTTCCTAATGCACAACTCTAATCACAGCACTCCACTAATCCAAAATTTTATGACTTTCCGTTGCCTACCAAATAAAATAGACTTGTTAGCCTGCTACTCAAGGACCTTAACAACCTGGCCTTTGACAATCTGGCCCCAATCTACCCCACAAGATATATTTCACACTGTTTTCCCTCAGGAATCCTGCCTCCCAGTCAAACTATAGTAAGTTGGTTCTCAAACACATCCCATCAATCAATCAACAAGCATTTATTAAGCACTTATAGTATACCAGGTGCTAGGTGCTAGATGACACAAAGACAAAAATGAAACAAGCAGTTCCTGCCTTCAAGTTTTTATTCTATGAGAGGATCTCCAGAGTCACAGCCTGAACCAGATTAAAATCTAATTGGAAACATTTTATTTAAAAAATATATAACACAGATAATATTAATTTGTGAGGTTTTAAGTCAATATCTGTTTGTGTTTGAGTTTGACACCATTATACCTTTGTCCATACTGTTTCCCACACCTGGAATGGCTTTCTGCCTTTTAAAATCCTACTCAACCTTCAAATCCCAGCTCAAATGCTCTTTCTGCCCTAAAGCCTTCCCTGATAACCTGATATAAGAGAAAGCATGGTATAGCAAATAGAATGCTAGATTTGGAGTTAGGAAGAACTGTGTTTACTCCTGCCTCACGAATATCACTAGCTTGTATGACCCTGAGCAACCTCTCTAAATCTCAGTTTTCTCCTCATCTGTAAAATGAGGGGGTTGGACTCAGTTACCTCTAAGGGCCCTTCTAACTTTAAATCTGTGATTCTATGATATTCACTATCAACAAATAGTAGACATTCCTTCCCCTGAACTCATGGCAATCTGTTCTTTTCTTGTACACTTACAATCTAATTTGTATTATAGTTATATGTGTATGTCCCAATGAAATCAGATTAAAATGTGTTTGGGTAATGTTTAACAAAATAAATAAAATTACAATACAATGTAGATAATGTTAATTTGTGATTTTTGAAGTCAACATGGGCCAGGAGGGATCCATTTCTATTTGAGTTTGAACACCATTG